AAATAAAAGAAAAGAACAGTCCTCATTTTCAAATGCCATCAGCAACAGGTCTGACTGAATCCAACATTTAACATCTCAATCATGAAAAAAGTGCCGACTAATCCACTTAATCCCAATTAGAAAAAATTTCTAAGCAGACAGTTGAGGAAAACCTGATTTCTGTTTTTCTAATATCTGAACTCATATCCGATGAAATGAAGTGGCTATTGTGCCAGAGGTAAGTGAACCCAAAAACCAAAACTAACAGAAACATTCTTATGTTATTCTGGCATCTCAGTTTATGTCCAAACCAATTCAATGAAACTTTAGCTTAATGGCAACAGCCATGCTCTCAGGGAAGGTTTGTTAGGGTTTCGAAAAAGAGATGTGCTGTGCTGCCAAATTATTGAGTTATAGGGTAGGTAAGCTGTTCAAATCTAAAAGAAAAGAAGTTTATATCAAACCAGAGAAGCTTACCATCATGTCCAACATTTATGCTAAACAAATTGAAAAAACTGAAAGTTTAGAAACAAACTACTACCAATGCGCACGTTGAAGTTCTTTGTCATCCTTATCCAGGTTCAGAGCCTCCCTAAACGCTTTTTCAGCTTCGTCAAATTCCTGCAATGGTATAATAAAACTTTGATTATAGCATGTTATGTTTCTCTACCTTGGTTAAGTAAAGTAAACTGCCAAACAAGAGCTTACTTCTAATGACATCCAAGCCTTTCCCACCCTATAGTGTGCCTCTGGCCAGTTAGGCATTAGCTCGCCACAAGATTGAGCATCTTTTAATGCCAAGAATCCTTCTCCCAAGTGGACCCAACACAAGCTTTTCTTTGAGTATAATAAAGCTAGAAAACAGTCACTGGGCTGATCAAGCATTGCCTTCAATATCAACCCAAAACACAAATCATAAAATATAAAGGACGTAATCTACAGCATAGACTATATGGAAATAAGGTACCAAATCTCTGATATACCAATTGTGCCATGTGTACCAATAGAAATAATGACACTTTAAATATATCAAATATAAACTATTTGAAAAGGCAAAAAAGAGTTACAGGAAATAAACAAAGGAACAATGGTAAGAAGTTAATCAAAGATATAGTTCTTATTTAAAATTTGAAAGAGTTATAATATGGGAAAAACATTGAAACTCAAACTTTAAATTGTGGCTATATACCTCTATGTACCAAAATTTTGCCAAAAGATAATCCTTTCTCTCAAGAGCCTCATCCCCCTTTGATTTTGCCAGGAAAAAGTGTTCCTGAAGCATGTTCTCTATCTGCAGTATATTTCAAGTGCAGTACATAAAACTGATTAACCCAACACAAGCTAAAACAGGGCACAAGAAAACCTATGTATGTGAAGGAATAGGATACCAGAGTAGTCCTAGAAGGGAAAAAGAAAACAGTGCATGAAGGAATAAATTTTAAAAGCCAAACTGAACTAAAGATGTGATTAGAAAAGATCCATAAGTATATAATAATTAAAAGCTGAAGAAAGCATTAAGTTGGCATAATAAACAATAATT